GACCGCGCCATCCGCCACACTCGGCGTGTCCCGCCGGGATGGACGGGCAGCTCCCGGGCGCGGGCAACGCGACGAGCTTCGCCGACGATGTGCTGCGCGTCTTCGGGGCTAACCACAGCCTGTCGGCGGGGCAGCTCTCGGAGCTGCTGCAGCGCCTGGGCGCCGCGCCCACCCTGGGCTCGGCGCTGCCGCTCGCCCTCCTGCACCACAACCAGGTACCGGCACCTCGGGGTCTCCGCGGCCCGGCTGGAAACGTCCCGGAGCGAGGGCGCCGGGGCGGCTGGGAAGCTCCCTGGGGTTTTAAATCTCGTCGCCCTCGTGTTTCCTCACGGTGAAGCCGGGAAGGAGAGAGGGAGGAAGGGAGCAAACGCGTGCCGGGGCTCTGGGCTCGGGTGGCGGGCAGAGGTACCGGAGCGCCGGTGAGAGCAGCCTGCGGCACGGGAGAGGCTGCCGTGCCTCAGGGAGCTGCTGCGGCGCGGGCTGCCTCGGGATTGGCCCTCCGTCCTCCTTGCTCGGCTCTTAATCTGTCACTTTTCCCGGTTAAATAGCATCTGTCCAACAGCAAGGAGCGAATGAGAACCAGCTAGTGACTCCCTCCGAGAGCTGAATAAGCACATCTTCAGGACTTGTTAAAATAAGGTTGTCATGAGACAGCAAAAAACTCGAATATACAAACAGATCTGCTTCTGTAAAGAAACTTTTAAAGAAATTTTCACGTCTTTTATCTAAGTTGAGTGCAAGGTGTACACCCGTCGATGAATCTACCAAAAGCCATTTAAACTGATGCTTAATTTACTGACTGGGTATTGTTGGAATATTACTTCTTTCTAAACATTTGTATTCTGTTTCATGTCTCCATAAGGAACTCAGATCTCTTTGCTACTTTTAAAGTCTGTGTGATTTAACTTACCTGGACTGTCCTGGACTGAAATTGTCTCCTTGAAGGGAAATTTTGAGATTGGTGGCGATTTCCATATGCCCAGAAAATCAGAGACACAAAGTTGGTCGCAAAATTGAAAGGAAAGCAGGAATGACTGTTTTATCTGGTTTCATTCCACTTCCTAAGAAACAGAAGAGGAATGGCTCTAGGGACCTTGAGAATTGTGTTTTAATATGGAGTAGTAGCTCTTTTGCCTTTTCTGTGAAGGAGACAAACCTTGAATAAGCTCGCTTTGTTTTAGAAAGGTTTACTTGGCACTTAACTGCCCTGAAATCAACGCAGAATTCAATGTATTCAGAATTCATTTTGCAGGAGTCACCACTTTCAAGTCTCACAAATTGAACACTGTTCCAACTCAGTGTGTTACAAATATAAACAGCCACTCATGCTAAATACAAGTTTGCAGTGTTGAGTATGGCTATGAAAGGCAGCTTTCTTTAAAAGGGCATAGAAATGAGTAGATTCTTCAGTCCTTCAGGTTTTCCATCTACAAAAGCACGTAGCTCTCGTACACAGGCTTTGGCACAGGCTACAGAAGGGAAGAAAAAGTAATGCTCTTTCTTATTACTACAAATGCATGTTCTCGTAAGTAACTCAAAGTTTAACTGAAACAATTTTTTTTAAAGGCTTGTTCTAATTGTGTTCATGTTGAATAATATCTAGGGTGTCATACTGAAATGTGTCTGCTCTTTTTTGATGAGTTACTTGTATTCTTTCTTAAAATTTGCCTTATGGCTGCTCCATCAGCTGGAACCATTAAAGCAAATGCATTTTGATCCCTCATAGATATCAAGTGTGTCCATGACTTTGGGCAGGTGGTGCATGCAAATGCATATTCACACCAGGTAAATCCTGTGTCACTGTTTTAAACACAGTGAGTCTTACAAGTTGATAATTCAGCATCTGCTGGTTATGAGAGAATTCATGAAGTGGCCTAATACAAGTTTGGGTGTTGGAAGGCATCAGAGGCCTAAGCTTCACTGACTCTTGACAGAGGAAAGTGAATACTTTCTGGAGAGTGATTCAGGTCTTCCTCAAGGTGGCTGAGTCCATTCAGGCTGCCTAAGTGTCTGACTGTAGGAGGGCACAAGGTTTATCTCAGACTTTCAGTTCTTAACTTCTGTGTCCAGAGCTAGTGGGTTGACTTCCAGGCCTTTCTTCGAATCAAGATAACATACCCCTGCACTTCAGAGATTCCCTCATCCCGAGCCTGAAGGAATTTTTAGTGGAGAGCTGATCTGTAAGGGACAGGTGATACAGTACCTAGCAGGAAGGAACAGTCTCTGGAATTTTATCCCTGTATTAGTGTTTAGTTTTAATGTCTCATTCACAACAATTTTGGTAAGTGTATTAATGTTATGAGAAGATCCATAAGAAGCTCATCCATTTTCTTACAGGTTGAAAGTATGGGTGTGTAAGCCAAAACAAAATGGATTGATTTCTGTTTTCCTTTGATACCAGCTTAACTTGAAAATAAAAGAGAGAATAAAAAATTATTTAATTTGTTGGTGATAGTGTTTGAGTGTGTACTTGTGTGGGTGTTTGTGGTAACTTGTGTCCTATGATGTCTGTAAAGATGCTGATTTTTTAATGTAGCAGAAAAAAACCTGGATTTTTTGAGCACCCTTTTGGGATTTTTGGATTGAACTGTCACCAATTTCTTGTGCTTTTGGTCTCTTTTTGCTTTCATCATGCACTTTTAGAATTATTTTTATTTTGAATTTATATTTTCTTTGCTCTTCAATTTTTCTGTTATCATCTTTTCTTAATATTTAAGCTAAGGCTCCTTGTCAGAGAAATTAATGGTAGTTGAACAAATACAAGTACTGATCAGTGCTGTTTTGTCACATTTTACTGTGGAATTGCCACACATTTTAGTCCTACTAATAGGGGTAAAATTAGCAATTTCAGTCTAATAGAGATGATGGATTGTTACTTGCTCTGTATATTACATTATTAGCAAGATGTAAAAAACTATGAAACCATACTTTATTTGTCACTGAATTCATTGCAGTTTGGCAGCCATACATGTGTGTGCCAAAGGACTAAAACATGCTCAAAATTTTTGGTCAAAAAAATACCTGAAAGGTAAATGGGCATTGGAAAGAAGGCTTGTTAACATCACCTCTTTTCATGCTTTGATGTAATTGGTAGGTGCTAAAATCATGCTCCTATTTCCTTCTTTGGCTTTTCTCAATCCATATTTATGCCACTCTAGATTTTATACCTGAATACTGTGTTTTAATGTAATGCATTTTATTTTTTAAGCAAAAACATTTTGACAAAATTAATTTTTTTTTTAAATTAATATTTGTAATCAGGTATAATTACCTTTCATCTCAGGATGAGCCAAAATCTAGTAAGTTTAGTTGATAGACTAGAACCAGGCTAGTATATTCTTTGATTTGAGGATTTTTTTGGTAGTTTTTCACTAGTTACAACTTGTCCTTTTGAAAGAATGGAGACAGGAGTGACAGAGTGTGGCTTAGGGTCTTGATCCAGCACCACTACCTGATGTTGCCTGGCCAGTGAGATGCTAAATAGGCTTAGTTGTTTTACCTTCCAAGTGCCTTATTTCTACAATATTTTCAGCAAATTTCAGTATTTGTGGACAGTTCTCAGCTCCCAGCATGGACAGCTGCCTTGAACATGTCATGGGGCACACAAGTGCATTTGAGCAGCTTCGTCTGACTCTTTCTCATGGACAGCTGCTTATTGAAGGAATCACCACCTGTATCATCCAGTTTTTACCTGTCCTAAGTGACAAAAAGTTGTTACCACATCAGCATTAGATGCTTTCATTTCTTACAAGTAAGTTGAGGAAGGCACAGCTGTATGTCTCTAGTTTGCCTTATCCATTCTCAGACTAAGTTAAAAATAATCTACAAAAAAGGATAAAAAAAAAAGCACTTGTTAAATATGCATTCACTGCATTTATTGTTTGTTGTTGCTACTGTGGGACCCACTGCTCAGCCCTAGGGTGGGCTGGTATTTAATCTGGCAACATCTAGAAACTGCAGTGCAGGATGCCCTTTCAGTATTTCAGTGCTTCATGTGTAGAATGCTACAGATAAAACATGTAAAGCAATGATAAGAACACAGCAGAAGATCACAGAGAAAGGGACTGATGCATTTCAAAGGTGGTTGTTAACCGTAGCATTTTTTGTTAATTTCTCCAGTTAGAAGAATCCCATATTGTTTGATCATTTTTTGGGAGAGTAAAAGTAAGCATTTGCTTGAATTACCTAGTTGATAGTTTAATATTTTCTAAGTCTCATTATTCTGTAACTGTGTAAAATCTACAATTCTAACCCTCCCCAGTTTTGAGGAAAACATTTTAAAAATTGTTTTTTAACAGTTCAGAGATGTTGAGTTATGTTATATATTTTTGGCAATTGTTTACTAAACACTCGATAACAGTCACATTAGAGGAAATCCTCTCACCTTATCACTGTGATTAGGTCTTGCTGCACAGCAGGGGACAGAAATGACTGCAGACCTGGTGAGTCAGGACATCATTTTCAGTCCCCTCTTCCATGAGGCTAAATTTTCTCTGTGATGAGATGGTCCATCAGTCTTACAAAATAAATATCTTATGTTTTTACAGCAGTGTGGCTGTGTTAATGTATTTATTTATCCTGAAAAGATAAATGCAGAGTTTTGCAGTGTGCAAATATGCCTTGCTCCAGTCCAAGGCTTCTAATAGATTCAGTCCTTTAGTTAATCCTTTAATTGTGCTGGTGAACTCATGCAAGCTTGCTTTTGAGCTCTTGGATGTATGTAGGAGTTTACTGAGAGTATGAGGTGACTTAAAACAATGAATCATTTATAAGAATCATTATCCTCTGGGTTTGTCCCTGATCAAAATAATAATAGTAATTAAACAAAATGCTGTTTCTCAATTTTGCATGAAAGAGCTCTTCTCTGGTGGTATTTTCCACTTCCATATTTGTGTGTAGGCAAAGTTACAAGTGTCAGGTTTATTAATTTATGCTGCGTCTGATTTAGTTTCTCTCCATTATCTGTTTTCCTACCTACAACATTGTTTGAATTGTTGTGAATTAATGTTAATACTAATGTATTGGTATTTAAAAATGCTACTACAGTATCCTGTATTTTAGAAATTAAATAGTTAAAGGTGATTTCTTTCAGAGATAGCCATGGCGTAAATTCTCAGCTCTTACTAGCTTGTTTTTCTAACCACAGACATCCAGAAATGGCTTAGTGAGCTGGTAATAAGTACTATAAGGTCTATACTGTAGACCACAACTATCCTCCCTTTGTTTTGCTGTGGGCATATTAGCCATGTATTTTGTATTATTCCAAAACACAGAGTTAACAGTAAAATGATTAGACACATAACCAGTTTAGAAAGCTCCACTGGTTTGTGTATTGTCCTGTTAAAGACTGTATCTTCAGTGATGATTTCTTTATTCACTACTTTTGTGTAGGTTAAATGGAGTAGCATGTTTTAAAGCAAAAAAAACATCTTCTGTTATTAGCTCTATTTTATATGTGGTACTTCTTTGACATTAGAATTGAGATTGAAAGATGAAATTATATGCACTTTGCTTCTTTATATTTGAGTCTTCAGGGTCTCATGGCCTTAACGAAATTTGCACTTAAGTTCAAGCACATGCCTGAGCCCTCCACTAGCTTGTTAAAGAGGAAGGACAGAAACATTCTGGATATAATTTAGCTAAAGTCATTTGAATTGGCCTGCTTGTTCTCTTCCTCCTAGCAAATCAAAGAGAGTCACATTCAGGTGATAAGTGCATTCCTTTCACCTTTTGGACAGTAACAGAAATATTTATTAACAGGAGCAGAGGCAGCTCTGATGAAATATGTGACTTGCAATCGCTCTGGCTTATCTCTAGGAGTTAATTGCCTTATAAATAATAATGTTGAATTATTGGAGACGTGCTGTGGAGTCTGAAGGCTGGCAAAACTGAGAAGAGCAGGGACTGATTATTTGTGTTTATATTGCTAAGGCTTCCAGTGCTCTCTGCCTGCAACCACACTGAGATTTGCAACAGGGAGAGTTATGCTGTAATTGATGTCTCAAATAGATGAAAACATTTGATTTTTTTGGTCTTGAGACTCAACCCTGGTATGTGTTTGTTGTGCAGCAATAACTGCACAAAACTATTGATTACACCCAGAAAAAGAACACTTTCCCTTATCATTGTAGGAAATAAAGAATGCAAATGAACAGAAAGTGTTAGATGTAAGATTTCAGCAGTTTGAAACATTTCACATAAAAACACTCAATTTTTCTATAGATGTATCTTTTATGATATTTTGTGGTTTGTGTTTTATCTTTTTTCTTGAAAATAACAAATGGAGGAACCAGCCTTTCCTTGCCCCTGGCCTGGTTTAGCACTGCCAAATACATTTATTGTTAACCCATCAGACACTGTTGTGTCCTGAGCTAAAGGCAATGTTAAGATCCCAAGCAGGAGTTTATCTTGTGGTTTTAAAAGACAACATTTGCCCTTAAGAGATACTGCTATAAGATAAATGAAAAATGTTTAGCTTTAGACCATTTTTAAGGAATTAGTCTGGGGAGATAAATAAGAAGCATTGTTGTAAAGCAGAAGTGGTCACTTACATGAATAAGCTGTCGCTGAATTACCAATCATTTTCTGGCATACTCTGTTACTGAGATTTTAACTGTATCTAGTCTGCTATCAAGTTTAATTATTTTGTAATTACATTAGGTTTTAAGTACTTTGAAGCTATTTTTCCAAATATATTGTGAGGTTTAACTGTCCAAGTTCTCAGGGCAAAAGATCTGCAAATGTCTCTTTAAAAAGTGGTTTATTGATTTGTGATTTATCTAACTTAAAGTACTTTGAATCATTTCTGCTTCACATTAAGCAATCACAGTATTTTCATGCACAGTGTACATTGTGTAGACTTCCCTGAAAATGTATTACAGTACTTGAATGTTGTAATTCTTAGATTTCTCACTGTACATCTTATCTTTTGATTTGCATTAATGTATTAAGTTGTCAAAATCCCTTTTGGTTTCAGTGCTTGACTAGTGAAGAAATCTTTTCTTTGCATGGGATACCGAACGACAGTCACATATCAAATTCCAGCTTCTCTACAATATGTCCTGCAGTTTTGCAACAGCTAATTTTTCACCCGTGTGATCATCAGGAGAGCTTTGTGGACACATCTAAACCACATTCTTCGCAAGGTTAGTTACTATTACTTGCATTAATGCTGTGACTGGAGTGAGGTTTCCTTAGAAGAATAGTAAGCATTTATCTATAAATAACAGGGGTGTCTTGTTTGGGAAGATATGGTTCCAAAGTGGGAACATAAACTGCTGTTTTAGGTCAGCAGACTGGCCAAACAAAATTGGTATCTCTTGACAGTGATCTGTTTAAAATGCTGTAAGCAAGGTGAAAGAACTGACTAGAAAGTTATGGAATGTTTTGCCCACTTAGGGAAGAGCCTTTCTGACTTGTTTTGTTTGGATAATGGTTTGTGCCTTGAAGTGTGAGGACTTGTAGTTATAGCTGGTTAGCAGAAGAAAAGATGAGTGTAAAGAAGGGAAATTTGTGCAGGTGATTTTCAGTGGGAAATGAGACCTGGTGGAAGCTGCATATGTAGAGACAGGGTAAGTTAAAATTACATGGGCTGCATTTGAGTGGAATTATTTGCAGGTGGACTGTCAGGTGAACCAGTGACTGGTTTACTGAGGAAAAATACTCATATTATTTCCAAATTCTGACTCCTGCTTTCATGGCATCTTTTGTGATAACCTCTCCACGTGGAGGATTGTTACATGGTTAAGCAGCCTTAATATTCTTTCTTCCTCTTTTCCTCACTATTATTTCTATATTTGTGCACAGAACTGTACCATCCAGTAAAAAGCATTGGACAGGGAATATTCATCTGATTAAAGAAATCACTTGTTGCACTAATAAGGATCAAATATATAATGGCTTATTTATTTGACTCAGTATTCCAAATGAACTTACTGTTCCAAGGGAGTCAGCTGAATTAATGTTAAAAGCTAGGGTGTTGGATTAGTAGTGCCTAATGTCAGTATTCGTAAGAAGAGATACAGAAGTGCTTTTTGTAACTTTTGAAATACTGATTAATACTATAATACTATTAATACTATAATAATAAGGTGATCACCTTTAATAAGAATTAAAGATCATTCCCAAAACTGTGTTTTGCTTTGTCAGTGAAAGATTAGAATTCTAATTGAGTAATCACTGAAACCATGGCACCAAGATTGCTTGTTTCACACAGAGATACATATTACCAAGAAGACCATAAGATCTGCATTGGACAGTAGGATCTGATGTACTCTTTTTTCTATTTTTTTTTTTTTGTGAGGGTGTGCTGGTTGAGTAGGTTGAACATGGAATCCTTGACCTACAGTTAACCTCCTAAAGTACTTAGACCATCTCTCATGTTTTCCTTCTATCTGTCCAGCTCAGAAGCAATGTCCAGTAGCCAGATAATCAGGGCAGACTTCTCCCTGCCCCTCCCTTGGCCACAGCACAAGAAATCTGCAAGGCCCATGGTTAGGGCACTTTAAACCACTGTGACACATCGTGGTACCTGTTTGAACAGAGATTCCTAGAAAGGCCCCCCAGTGCCCAATGCAGCTGTTGATTTATACACCCCCACCCTATCACAAAGTGAATCTCTATCACAGTGCCATAGAGTCCAGATGTTTTCAATTACTGCCCATGGAGCAAAATCCTCCATGCCTGTTTCCAGCTGTGCCTATGTGAAGTTTCTCCCCAGGGACCCCCACTCTCTTAACAATACACCGTCTTCCAAAATACTAATAGGCAAGATGTGCAGAAGAAACCACTTCAATAAGCTTTAGGAACAGCTACTGAATAAAAAATGAGTGATGCCAAAGCAGAGTAGAAGTTGGAAGGCAAAAAAGATGTTGCATCTTTTTTCCTGGGATTTGTAGAACTCCCACCCAACCTATCTGATCTTGGGGCTCACTCAAGTCCTCCCCTTGCTTCCTTCTCTGAAAGATAATAGGTAGGTGTATAGAGATGCATCAAACGAAACTGCCCAGTGGCATTCCTCATGTGTAAGACAAACACTTTCTGTGCTCTCTGCTTGACTTCTTCAGAAAGGTACTTATGCACTTACTTCCTCCTCATCCTAGGACAATGTTAAGGAAGAGCCTGAGTCTGCCTGTTCTTAAAAGGAGCAGTGCTGAGCAGCAGTGTTCTAAGGAGGGCATCTTACTTGCACTCCTGCAGTTTTATTTTCTGTATTTCTTGCACTGTTTGGTATCTTGGCTGTCTCTTTATTTGGGTTACAGTTTAGAGACAGAAAGAATAATAGTAGATAGCAAAAATTGACTGAGACATCAGTCTTGGGGAGGAATTAGCACTGGGTCTGAGTGCCCTGCTCTGGTACGTAAAGTCAGACTACCCAACTTTCTGAGATGTGTGGACTCATGAAAAAGCTAGTGTGGATGCAGTTCTAATGAATAAAACCATTTTAAGGCAGCATTGCATACATGATACTGTGAAATACAGTCGCTAATGGAGGAACTTTGGCAACATTGGTTGTCTTGGAATTTTTTCAACTCAGTTTAAAATGTACATTTTTGCACAGAACATGGGCAATGTCCATGCACTAAACAAAAAGATTCTTGTACTTCTGCAGTTATTCCAAACTTAGACAGTGTTTTCTGACTCACGATGGCACTGGAAACTCATTTATTATAAATTTGATTTCAAAAATATATTTACAGTCTTAATTGTCATTTAGTTTAATAAAAATAGATCTATGTAGCTTAGTGAATCTACCCATATCTGGTTGTGTGTTTTTCCCCTCTCTCTGTGTAGCTCTCTCAAAACTGGCAAATGAATGTTGTAATTGGCATTGATACATCTACAAATGCTTTGAATGTTTCTAATGCTTTCTGCTCTTGACATAATATAAAATTCATTTTATAAAAACATTGTGGAACTGTATGGAGTAGAGCTGTCCCAGCTGCAGGTGAAGAATCTAGCTCAGTGTGTTTGCCAGTCGTGTTCCAGAAAATAATATCAGACTGTAATCCGATCTGTTAGTTTCTGCTATGCAGAGAGGAATTTATGGTATCTTCCCTATATAAACATACAAACTTACAGTGATGCAACTTTCTGGATTATATGAAACTGTTCTCATCTAGGCAACATTGCATTGGCATTGATTATTTTTTGTGGTTAATTTTTAAAGACAAACCCTCTGTCTGTGTGGATTACTTTGTAGTTCTGTGGCATCACTTGTGGCACCTTTGTAGACCTCTTTAGTACAACTTTTTAAAGTTTTTCTCTGTACTCACAAGGATTTGAGATGTCACTGGGAAAAAAAGTTCTCCATAGAGGCACAACTTTGTAAATGTTTACGAGCAACAACAACCACACCACACCTCTCCAACCTATAATTCAGGCTCCAGAATAATTGTGGTACAGATTTGTGCAAGTCCTGGTGTGTGAACACTAAATATCTGAGATTATGCTTATGGTGAAGGAAACAAAATTACGCTGAATCCTGTTGCATTTACTGATTCTTAGGAAAGGTTTTTCCCATTACATACATAAGTCACATGACCTTTTTGAACTTAGAACCTATTTTTTTATGTTCATTTCTCTGTTATAATTATGTCAACTATCAGTTAGCTATCACTTCACTTGTTGATAAACAGTGATGGGCAGCATTTTCAGCCAGCAGAATTTCTTTGAATGAAAGGAGGAGGAAGGAGAGTTAGGAACTGAGATATCACCTCAGGGTGATTTGAAGGAGTCATTCTTTATCAGGAAAGATTTTTATATCTAGTATAGGCAAGACAACAGTCTTTTTGTCATGGATTTTCCTAGAAGTAAATGTCATTTGGATCTGCCTCTAGGACCAGTAAGAAACTTTGTCTTTTTTTCTATGCTACAGCTTCTTCAGCTATTTGCCTAAGCCTTAATTTTTACTCTTCATTGATTGTAGAGAGATACATTTTCAGCAGATAGGCCAGCCCATGTATTCTACTTGCGTGGTTTCCAATTTTTAATATGGTTGTCCCAGAAAGTGTTTTCAGATATTTCCTTTCTGCAGATATAGATCTTAACTGCCTATGCATTTTAAGAATTTTATGTTTGTGAGTTTTAATTTCAACCAAGGAATTACTCTTTTACCAGTTCCATGCCAATTTAGCAATTAGAGAAATCACAAGCATACTGAAGTGGGTGTTATACTAATATATTTTGTATTTCTCTTTGTTTATCCACAGTTTGGGGATTTGGGTTCCTGGCTGTGTCTGTCATTAACTTGGCATCACTTCTGGGACTGATTTTAACTCCTCTCTTAAAGAAGTCATATTTCCCCAAGGTTTTAACTTACTTTGTGGGCTTGGCCATTGGTACTCTCTTTTCTAATGCAATTTTCCAGCTCATTCCAGAGGTAAGCAAGGGGAGTAATTATTTGGTTTGAATACTAGTTTCTAAAGTGTATTGATTTTAAAAGCATGATGCAGTGGGGTTCTGTGTGTGGGTTTCAATCTCCAAAGAGTTTTGTGTGGGTTTCAGTGCCATGAGTTATGATCCCTCTCTGAAATGTGTCAGAGCCATCAAGATCTGTCTTGTTCATTGTGAAGGACCAAGGGCTATTCTTCCACTAAACAAAAGGAGAAATCCATTGGATAAAGTTGTAGTGAACTTTTAATAGGCTATACTGTTAACATTTTGTCCAAGTTTAAAAAATGTAATGAGATCAGAATCTTCTACAATTTCTGCTCATGGAAACCCATGGTTGGTATAGAGAAAGTTTTTGTAATAGAGGGATATCTGTGGAGTGTGATGTTTGTTTTTCTGGAAATGTACTAAGATTGCAGAAAAATTTGCATTGCTTTTTTTCTTCACTATTAGGCATTTGGGTTTGACCCAAAAGTAGATAACTACGTTGAGAAAGCTGTTGCTGTGTTTGGTGGATTCTATATTCTCTTCTTTGTGGAAAGGATTCTTAAAGTGATACTAAAGCTCTACAACAAGGTAATGAAACCTATCACTAACTGAATGAGTCTTGCCTTAAAGTACCTGTCATATTTTGTGAGGTACTTGCTAGATGAATAAAATGTGTGTGGGGTTTTCTATTTTAAGTGACAAATTCAGCCTTATTGTGTGTTCTGATATATCTGTTTAAAGCCCATATGAATAGGAAAAGAAATCTCACTTTTTTAAGGGAGTTAAAAGCAGCTCTGGGAATGGAATCCAGATGTGAGTGTGGTCTGCTTTCTTTGGTAAATGCTCCAGTTTCTCTCAGCAACCAAGTAGTTGCTGTGGTAGCTAAACACACCAGAAAATCATGGAAATATGTAACAGGTGGAGAGAATGAAGTCTTCCCATGGAGATCCTCTTTGGGCAGGAGAAAGCAGTGTGACAAGTACACCTTCTTGGTCATCTGCAAAGTACAGGTGCACTGAAGGCCTGACTGACCTTTAGTAACTTCAGCTCTGTGTTTCCCAAGCTCTGGTACACAGGATTGCTTCAGTGAACACTGCAGTTGTCTCCTCTTGCCCAGGGCTCTGCTTTCTACCCCTGTGTCTGAGTACTTGTATTCTGTGTGCTCATTTGAGCAAGGCTTAATTTGTCTCAGAGAAGGGCACCTCAAAATTGTTGGTCCTCCCTGCCTATTACTGCCTTTTACTGGTGAAAGGAAACTGCCCTGTCTTCCTACTCTAACCTCTCTGTTTTCTCCTCCCAAAGTGTTGCTGATACTGAAAATTATGATGATCAACTGTCCCTCATTTGCAATAGCTAGAAATAGAAAAAAATAATTTGTTTTTCTTTATTTATGTAAACAGACAAAGGCTAATAAGCTGTATTTGACAAGCAACCATGAATAACCAGCAAATGTTGATCACTTTTGGTCAGATTGGCTTGGGAGGTTCTACATAAAGGTATAAAAATGAAAAGTTTCCCATGTTTTCTGATGAGCTTAAAGTAAGAGATAAGTTAGGAACTTAGATATGTTTGGAGTTATTAAAAAAAAAAAATGTTCACTGCTGCTCATTTCAGCAATTCACTTGGTGTTGAAAGCAAGACAGCATGAATATGATCTTCCCCCCACCTTTTCCTTTTTATCTTTATTTTCTTACATTGCTATTTTGCTTTTGTTTTAATTAGCTACCTGCTTGTTTATTTGTCACCTAGACTGGCCATAATTACTTTGAAAATGGAGAAGAGAATCATTCTCAGGATAAGACTAACTCACCCAAACCACCATCATCCAGCAATGGGGGAAAGTGTTATGCAAATTCAGCTGTCATAGAGAGCAATGGAAATCTTGGTTTTGACAGCATCAGTGTGGTCTCAGCACAGGTATGAAAATTGTATCAGTTTATTTATTTTATCCTTGCCAATTATATGAGCATATCTGAGGAAAGTTAATATGAATTTTTATTGCTTTTTTCAAGTTTTTATAGGCTTGCAGCTTATCATGTGGTTGAACCCTATGAAAAAATACAGGGTTTTGGGGCAAGCTTGAAAAAGCTGAATGATGCACTCAATTTGTAGCCAACAAAAAAGGCTGTTATATCAGGGTTGGACAGAGAGATGTATCTAATCAGATTTGAATTTGTATTTAATTTGGTTAATTTTGGCTTTGTTGTTGTTACTGTTTTGCATAAAGAGTAATAGTGTGTTTTACTGTTGTGGTAATGTTGATCATACAAAATTACCCATATTTTGTTCCTGAATACATAAAGCCGTTAAGTGTGAGAATCTGATTCTTCTGAATCAATGATTAAAGAGAAAAACTAGTACAGTAACTTCCAGGCAGTATATGGTGAGCACTGCTTGTGATAATGCAAGGATACTGTGGAAATCATGGAACTCATATGTTGAGACAGAAGCCACTCTTCCTGATTTAAGTATTATTATCTTTCAGATTTATTCTTTGTGTTTGTTTTCATACTGCAAATACCACTTTCTTCTGTCTGAGAAGAAAATGGAAGTTGAAAGAGAAAGTTTTGTGCTTCTTCAGTATTTTTCCACATGTAGAGAGGAGCAGTACTATGCAGGGAGGAGCAGTACTGTCCCTTATTAAAAAAAATTAAAAGCACATAGAAAAAAATTCAGATGTCTTAAGACAGACTTTTATCATAGTAGAGATTTTTGGTTTGCCGTCCATTTTTATTAGCCAGTAAGTTAGTTGTGGGGAGCAGAGAGGAGCAAGCAGGACAGCAAGCCAGAGGCAGTCGCTAACAACTGGGAGAAAATCTGGGAGTTCTGCATTGACCCTACAGGCATTTTGATGCACAGTTTAAAACACCAAAATTGTACTTGTCCTTACCATAGAAATGTCATGAACTGTGGTGGATACTGTATATCTTAAAAATTAGAAGAAATATACTTAATTGCTAAAATTACATGGGCACCAGGAGGGAATTAGTATTATGAGTGTCCATAAGTTTTATTTTGTAGATGTATAAAACAAGTAAAAGAAGGCTCTGCTCTCTGCAGAGAGAGAAGCAGTGTGGCCAGCAGGACTAGGGAAGTGTTCATTCTCCTGTGGCACTGCTGAGGCTACACCTTGAATCCTTTGCTCAGTTTTGGATCCCTCACTACAAGAAAGACCTTGAGGTGCTGGAGTGTGTTCAAAGTAGGGCAACAAAGCTGGTGAAAGAGCTGGAGCATGAACCCTATGAGGAGCAGCTGAGTGAGCTGGGATTGTTTAGGCTGGAGCAAAGAGGCTTGGGGGGACCTTATCACACTCTACAAGTGTCTGAAAGGAGGCTGTAGCCAGGTGGGGGATGGTATCTTCTTTCCAATATTAAGTGACTGAACAAGAAGAAGCAGCCTCAAGTTGTGCCAGGGGAGGTTTAGATTGGATATTAGGAAAAAGTTCTTCAAGGAAAGGGTTGTCAGGCATTGGAACAGATTGCCCAGGGAAGTGGTGGAATCACCATCTCTGGAGGTGTTTAAAAGGTGCACAGATGTGTTGCTTAAGGATATGGATGGTGGACTTGGTAGTGTTAAGTTAATGGTTGGACTCGATGATCTTTGAGGTCCAACCTAATGATTCTGTGATATTGTGTAGCAACAAAAAAACCCATCATTGCTCTTGTCCTCCTCCAGTGAGGTTCAAAGGTTAGGGGAGGGCCAATGTTGCCGAGGTGCTTTGGGGCAGTTAGGGTAATGACAAGAAGGTAGGTATGCTTTCAGCTTTACAAGAATGTAGTATTTAAGACAAAAACATTTGGCATAAGCTAATGTGTACCCAAGAGAATTTTAATGTGTCCTCATTATTGACAGCTTGTTAAAGAGGGCAAATACAGAGTAGTCAGAAATCAAAATGAAGGCTTTAAAGAGGAAGTTTGAAGCCTGATTGTGCCAAGATGTAGTAACTGTTTTCAGCCATGGGGATCCAGCTATATTCTCTCCTTTAATGCCAGAAGAGATTGACTGCCAGTGTAAATGTTTAATTAGTCACCTACTTTCTGTTTTCACTTGCAGCAGTAATTGCAACCTTGGAAACCTTTGTGCTGTACCCAGAGTTTGTATCTACTATGCACTGAAATATGGCTTGACAGCAGAAACTTTGAAGGAAAGTTATTTCAGAGACAAATTGCTGAAACATCTGTGTTCTTGAGTGTACATTGTTAGAGTTGTATAACAAAACTTTACAGTGCTTTTATTGATTGCCTTGAGGCAGTGTCAGGATTCCTTCTTGGTTCTGTGGTTTCTTCCAGAGGACATGTCTGGTTCATGTCTGAGGGAATCAGACATGTGTTGGAAACAGCAATAGTAATCTGAGATGTCACAGGATAAAATAAGAGAGTCTCTGTATAATTTCTTAAGTTTGGGAATGAACAAGAGAACATTACTTTTTAAAAATCCCTCTGTGTTTAGAAGAGCATAAATACCAAGGACGTGTTTGGTTTACCATAAACTGTGGAGATACAAATGATGTAGGACTGCACTAATAATTAATAAAAATTAAACCTGATAGTCCAGCTGGGTATTACAGAGCTCCTTAGCTGGCATATCTTTTGATGTCTGCTGAACTACCATGACAAAGTGGAAATAGTCCAGAGGAAACAGACATTGTTAATTTTTTGCTTTGGAATCCTATGTGTTTGTACGGTATTTTGTCAGTAGTCTGCCTTATCTTAAACATGAAGAATGTGTATTACTTGTTCATCTACTTCTACTGGATACATGACCTAGTAAAGTTCAGAATGCAGTTCCAGAAAAGCAATTTCATTGTACTTTATATAATTTAGAGAAGTTGTCAAGACATCATTTAAAATTGATTACACCTAAGTATTATGATACTTCAGAGCTATACAGTAAATGTAAGTGGCAGATAGCCAGACATATATATATATATGTATATGTAAAACAGAAGTGTCTCAGAAACTAATTCATAGTTTATAAACTGCAATTGCTTCTGCATTTTGAAAGTTTGGATCAAGAAATTAATTTTTAGAAGTAAATAAATACTAACACCCTAAATTAATTGCAATTACTTAAAATGTTCTTTTTGGTGGGAAAAATGGGTGAATTATTTAAAATGAAAACTTGCGCATTAGATCAAGCTTCCTTTCCTCAGTGAAGCTAGAAACCTGTGCAAAAAAGGTGATGTGCTTTAGGCAGAAATCAGGATGTCCTACAAAACAATGCTTCCTCCAGCTTGTAGTCAACTTGAAGGATTGTCTCCAGGGAACAGGAAGATGGATGAATTGTTGTAAGAGCTTTGCTAATTGTATTTTGGTTTTCTTATACTTGTGTATTTTGTGTGGCTTGCTTTGTAATATATTATTCTTAGAGTGATGTTCAGCTTGTCTTCATGGATTAAGAGAGAGATCTATTGCTTGTAAGTGATCCTATATCAAACAGAAATAGTACAGATACAAATTGTTAATCTCAAAAAAATGATTGGTGCTGCTTGTGTTAGAGGAAATGTTGAGAGGAAAGCCTTCAAAAACTAAAGGCAAGCATGTAGTACAAATTTAAAACCTATGTGTTTGAGTCAGCAAGGAAGCTCGACTTTTTGATACCATTGCTCATTTTTGCATCCTAGAAGTATAATTTCAGAATTTCCTGTAGGCTAAATAGGAGCCGCTTTGTGGAAGTTTTGGCACTACTCAACCAAGGCTTTATTATCTGTGAGTTCCAGGCAGTGCAATAGGCACCTGACTCAGAAATTCCTGACCTGAACTTTTGTCCTGTCCCAAGGCAGCTCCTACATACAAGAATGTAGTCAGATAAGAGTCCTGTGAGCAAATCACGTGATAGACCTTAGAGCTCTGTCCGTAAAGATTTAATTAATAAGTAAGAATTAATTAATAATTTCATTTCCTTGAAGTTCAAAATTCAGTTTGCCTGGAAGCATTTGCATATGGCGAAACTAAAGCAATTTTCTAAGAACTAAAACATTCTTTTTAACAGCTTAAGAAAATTTCTTGGAATAGTCTTTGCCTTCTCCTAAGGAGAAGGAGGTGTTCCTCTACATCCTTGTACTTCATGAAGTGGAGATGTGTGTGGATAAGAAGAGAGCAGGGGATATTGCCTTCCTTCACTTAAACAGTGACTTTGACAGTGTCTCTCACAACATCCAAATTCAGGAAGTGTGGAATGGATGAGTGGACAGTGAGGTGTACTGAGAGCTGGCTGAATGGCAGATGTCAGTGGGCCAGGATGTAATTGAAGGCCTGTCACTAGTGGTGTCCCCCAAGGTTCAGAACTGGGCTCTGTATTGTTTAACCTATTCATCAAAGACTTGGTGAAGGGGCAGATGCCTCCCAAGCAAGTTCACTGATGACACAAACCTGTGAGGAGTGGCCAATACCCTGCAGTGCTGTGCAGAGCTTCAGAAGGTCCTCGACAGGTTGGAGAGAGGGGCAGAACAGAACCTCCTGGAATCCAGCAAAGGCAGATGCAGCATCCTGCACTGGGAAGGAATAACTCCAGGCACCAGCACAGGCTGGGGGCTGACCTGCTGGAAGCAGCTCTGCAGAGAAAGACCTGGGTGTCCTGGTGGAGAACAAATTGTCCATGAGCCAGCAGTGTGTCCTTGTGGCCAAGAAGGCCATTGGTATCCTGGGGTTCATCAGGAAGATCAGTGCCACAGGTCAGGATGTGATCCTGCCCCTCTGCTCAGCCCTGGAGAGGCACATCTGGAGTGCTGAGCCCAGTTCTGGGCTCCTCAGCACAGGAGGGACATGGAGCTCCTGGAGCAGGTCCAGTGGAGAACACAAGGGCGATGAGGGGACTGGAGCATCTCTTACGAGGAAAGGCTGAGGGAACTGGGCCTGTTCAGCCTCGAGAGAAGACACCAGAGAGGGGAACTCAATGTTTATAAACACCTGGAGGGAGGGTGTCAAGGGGATGGAACCAGGCTCTGCTCATTGATGCCCAGCAATAGGGCAAGAGGCAACAGGCAGAAACTGATGCACAGAAAGTTCCACCTGAATATGAGGAAGAACTTTACTGTGCAGGTGACTGAGCACTGGAACAGATTGCCCAGAGAGACTGTGGAGTCTTTCTTATTAGAAACATCCAAGAACTGCCTGGATGCTATCCTGTGCCATGTGCTTGAAGAGGGGTGTTGGACCAGATGAGCTACTTTGGTTTCTTCTAACATGAACTAATCTGTGATTCCGTGCTATGTATGTCTGTAGGCACACAGAGGCATGTGTTACTGCTTATATATTCCAGTAAGTACTAGTTAATGGTTTATAAGCAGTTTTATTTTAATGGGGGAAATATTGTAATGCTAGGAAATATTCTGTAAATACAGTGTATGTATACAGAAATTCATCAAATGGATCACCAGGAACTTCTAGGGGGGCTTAATTTGTGCTCCCAGTTAAAATGGCCGTTCCTTTTATGTGTGTTCAGGTTTTTCATTATTTCATGGCACCACATGTATAAATTACTTCCACTTCTGGGAAGAATTGGTGAGATCCCTGGAGTGTATGTGCATTGCAGTTTTATATTAGCCTGTTGATTTTGTGCTCTGAGCCTTTAATTCTGCAGTCAAAATTAGCCACCGCTGTTTTTATTAAACATTCACTTTTTAGAAACTAATTTGAGTAGCTGGACTATCATTGCCCAAAATTAGAAATAAACTTTATGGAGTATCTGGATGTGTCTATACTGTAAATACATTCTACAGTATAGATGCATCGTATGTATCATGTAGATAGAATTCTGTCACTGTGGTAGCTGAGTGTGTCTCTGAGACCATGATGTAGTTCCAGTTGTTTTAAATACAGATGCTGCCAGTCACTGAAATCAGATTCTTCTGACTGTACATGCTTATGTAGAGGTGTCAGAAGAGGCTTGGGGCTGTCTTTATCTGACAGAGACTCCACAGAGACATTCAGACCACTGCAGCCTGAATTTCTTCCTGTCTCAGTGAAGGGCATCCAGGTGACACTTTGCAGTCAGAAGGGTGACTGGGTCCTGCATGTTGCCTTGTTGAAACAGAAAATATTTGGTGCTACTGCTGTGCCATTTGCTTCTTGGACAAAGCAATTTGGTCTCCATATGCAGCAGTGCTTGAGTTTATACTTGGCATTCATTTAAAGACAGAAGCATGATTCATTTGCTTCTTTATTCATTGTTTTGTGTAATTGTTTTATTCTATATTTTTTTCAGGAAGAAGCCACCCAAAGCAGCTTATGCAAGTGTCTTAAGGGGCGCCCACTGTCGAAGATTGGCACCATTGCTTGGATGGTGACACTGAGTGATGCTGTGCATAATTTCATAGATGGCTTGGCTATTGGGGCTTCTTTTACTTTGTCTCTGCTGCAAGGGCTTAGTACCTCCATAGCTATCTTGTGTGAAGAGTTTCCTCATGAACTGGGTAAGGAACTTCATTGCACACATTGTTTCCTGTGGAAATCACTGTTGTAGGTGGTTGTGTTGGCATAAATTTGGCAGAGGGTGAAAGAAAGTTTAGACAAATTAATAGAAAAAATGTCAAAAAGTTACTGAGCACCAAAACACACATCTGGCACAGGAAGTTCCCAACTGCAGGTGGGTGGAAGCTAGGACCATATATTGGACAGGTACTAATTATCCTGTTTATATACGCTGCAGACAGTGTTGTATTAATTAATTTTAAAACCAAAAATCACCATAGGTATTTGTGTGTTCCTGTGCTCTTAGCTCAATCTTGCAATCAGTATTTGTTTAGAGTATCTCAGTTTCCTTAGTATTGAAGGGAAATCCGCATCACGTATTTGAACAAAGAAAAACAACACAGTGTTTACAATGTGTATACAAATAATGTTTTTTCTTCAGACTTACTTTGAAATCAGAAAATAACCACAATATCATTCTCTGAATATAGTTTTCTTTTTGTTGTTGTTGTTGTTTTAGGTGATTTTGTCATCTTGCTTAATGCAGGAATGAGTACTCGGCAGGCTTTGTTTTTCAATTTCCTATCTGCATGTTCTTGTTACATTGGGTTGGCCTTTGGAATATTAGTAGGCAACAACTTTGCTCCTAACATCATCTTTGCTATAGCCGGTGGAATGTTCCTGTACATCTCTCTGGCAGATATGGTGAGATATAATTTCATTTTCAGTTATTTATTTCTCTGCAAAAAAAAATAGACTCCACTAAGTCTCTCCAGTAGAATTTAGTATTTTCTCCTTCTTTTGCCAGTGACTAATAACAATAATATTATTATTAATAAAATATAGTAACTTAAACCCTTAATAGAGGTGCACAGATAGTTACTGTTACCGATAGGTAAGGCTTTATAAAGCCTTACCTACTGGTAACAAGTTATGTTTATTCATGAAACACAAAAGCCTTTCACCTCATCGTGTTATTGAAAAGCAGTTTTAGACAGAGACAAGCCCTTCATTAATTTGGCCTGATTTAATCAAAGAGTAAAAAGTGTATAAACACTTTGTTTCAGCATTTTAAAGTGTCACAATATTTCACCTTATTATTTTAAAAAGTTCATTTGTCTATTTAAACCACATTGTGAAAGAAAAGCAAAAAAAGAAAGGTAAACAGAAGGAAGTTAAATATTAAGTTTTTAGTTGAATGAAAGGTGTTGTGTAACCACAGTGATAATGAAAAACTTGTTTTAAATTCTATCCTGGTTTAAATTAAAGAGTGCCAACCTCATTTTCATGGTTCAGGCAAAAATTTTTGCTGAGTTCTATTCAAAATAGTCTGTTTCTCATTTATTTTTCAACATGTGCTAGAAGATACATGGAAAAAAAAATTGTGCTAAAATCCAGATTGTATTTAGACATTAGGAAAAAAAAAAATCTGGATTCACAGGCACTTAGCAATATTCCGTAATTTCCTCTTATGATGATGTTTTGTCTCAAAATGAGAGAGATATTTCAAGAGTTTTAAGTTTCATTATGTTTCATTCAGTGTTGTAACAACAGATGTAACAGGTGCAAAGGTGTTTACATCTGCCGCATGGGAATCCATTTGTGCGCAGAACTGGAAGAGTGAGGCCTGAATCTGAAAAGATTTGAGACCCCAGTTTGGTTCCATGTGCATTTAGGAACTTTCATATATTTATAGTGACAATTTCATTAAATACTATTATATTTTAGGTGATAGTACAGGATTTAATAAGTTGTTATAAATAATATAAGTAGTTTATTTTATAACCTTGCAGTACTTTAATTGCTAATGCTTTTTGCTTACCTTCACTCATATAATGAATAGCAATGTACTGAACTCTGATGTGTAAAATTTGTGGCATAAATTTATAGTGACTCAAGTTTGTTATTAAATCCTTCTAAGTAGGTAACATTCTTTTCTTTGTATATGTTGTTCTGTTCTCTCTGTTCCTCTCTATCTGTCTCTCTCCCTGTACCATCCTCTCTCTCTTTTTATAGGTTTTTGGATTGTATCAGTTACCTATCTGAAATTTTCTTCCCCCTGAAAAGTCTGAAATAGGGTATTGAAGTGCTTTGTACAGAGATCTGGCTTTCCACTTTCTTATGATTTTCACACACTTCTGGTTTCCTTGTCCAAAAGCAGGTAGGATTAACTGGAATTTCATGCCTTCCTCCTTTTCTTTTTGCTGTTCTTTTTTCTTCCAGTATTGGCATAGTCCAACCTCTGCCAGTAGGATCACTGAGTGGGGAGGCTGTGGGCAGGTGGGAATGTACACTGAGGTGTGTGCACAGATGAGCCTCCCTGTACGGCATGAAGTTAATCTGGTTTTGCACTGTTGTGCAAGAGTGTGACAGAGCTCTGTGACGATTTCTGGGAAGCTTTGGGCTCTTCCCACTAACCATAGCCTGTTCTTCAAGAATTGCATTACTTTCAATGACTGTTTTTGTGTTGTGAGATCAAAGAAAGATACAGTTTCTGAGTCACCCAGCCTGAAGGCTTCCTAACTAGGGCTGACATAAACTGTCTTTGTTGTATTCTGGTTATGCTATTCTCAGCAGAACAGGTGACTCCTTTGAGGCTTATTTCTCAAAAGCCACTGTGGTTGACTTTACCTGCAGCAAACATGTACCCTTAATCATTCCATGCAGGGAACTTCATGCCTGTGCTCTTGTGCCATCACCTCCACTGCTCCAGAGGCAGTATCTTTGTTTCTGCAGTTAGTAGCATGCTGATCAGTCACCCTTTGCTCTTGTGTTAACCATTAAGATGTATATTACAGAACGAAGAATCCCATCATGGCACTGTAGTCATATTGCATCTGTTACCACCAATTTCACACCAGTCATCTTCCTCTTCCTTGCTTGACCTGATGAGCCCACCAGACCTTCCACATGTAAAATATTTCTGATAGGTTGTCTGTGTTTTCATCTTTGCTTCGTTTTCCTTCAGGTAAAGCAGAAGAATCCTAATCTTCTGTTTCCCAAACAAGGATTTCTCTTTATAGGAGTGAAGGAAGAAACAAAACATTTAGCAATAAATACAAGGGCAGCTGCTCCTGGCAACACACAGACCAACAACTGGAACCTAGGAGGCTGGTGGAATCAAAAAGGGAAAATTTGCATGAGACACAGCCAGATGAAGCCACTGTAGAGAGGAACAAAACACCATTTCATCTTATCATGCTTGGTGGAGTGGTTTTTCAGGATAATTGGGGTCATATTTTCTTGTGACTGCCTTCACCCTCTGTTAGTTCTAATATTCAGTCTAAAGTAGCAATAGGGTTCAGTTCTTAATGCCTTAAATTAAGCACGCTACCACAAGATGGCAATACTTACTTAAAAATATCCCCTTTTTCAGTTCCCAGAGATGAATGATATGCTGCGGGAGAAAGTGACAGGAAGAAAGACGGATCTTACGTTCTTCCTTATTCAGAATGCTGGTTTACTAACGGGATTCACTGCTATCCTGCTGATTACCTTGTATGCAGGAAATATCGAGCTGTGAAAACAGAATCAGGATTGGAGACATCAAGTAAATTGCAAATGGAAGACACTTGAAATCCATACAGGGACATTGATGTAATCTACTCGGTTTTGAAACGGTGGCAAGGCCCGTCCTGTCCCTCTTGCCCCAAATACAGGAAATTCTTCTTTAGGACTTGCAGTTGAATCAAATAGTAGGAGCTGTCAGCTTCTGTATGATGCCAAAAAAATTATGCTAATATTTGTATTTCTACTTAAAATTATCAGACATATCTGAACTGTCATAGAGGAAGGGTGTTACTTGGCCAGTAGAATTATGCAATACATGCAACTACATGCAACTCCAGACCAACTGAAAGCTGAGGTCTACAAGGAAGATGGGTATTTAAGAGTAAATAATATAGTTTTATACAATTTTTAACCGTGATGAAGGCAAGCAGTTTCAAAACTGGTTAATTTTTATGACTTTTGTTGCAGGATTTGTCTGTGTAACATCTTCATTCCCAACCAAAAAAAGAAAAAAAAAAAAATCAAACCATTTCAGAGTAGGTACTAATGAAGCTAAGATTTTTAATTACTAATTAACACTGGAAGGAAAGATACCAGTTCCTGCTTTTGATCTTTTCTTTTTATAAATGCACTAGGGAATTGTTGATTTATTTTGAGAACCACTTTTTTTTAATTAGAGGGAACCTGTGTTAAATTTATGACTGTTTATCAACTCCATAATATTTTAGAAACATTGAGTATTTTTAAAATGTTCAAGTATTATCAGTTTATTCTATGAAAATAATAAAGTTTTATACTTAAGTTTCACATATATCCCCTTTAAAAATCAGTTTTTTAGTCTTACCAAGGAAAATTTAGGGAAAAAAAAAACTTGCTAAAATCGACATTCCAGTATGCTTTCTTCATTGAATTTGAATGATTTCTTTGTGTGCAGTTGGGTGGAATGAAATGATAATAAAATATACAAATTCTTACCACAATCTGTTGTGTGTGAACTTTCTAAAATCATGCTTATATGTATGAGTTCTTCTGAAATAAACAATTCATCTACTCATTACTAATCTGTTGTAAGATGAGCACAAGGAAATTCATAGGAAAATACATTCCATTTCAATCACCACTTTGCTTTGAAGGAAGCGTTATTATTCTCCTGTAAGTTACTTTTTTCATTGATTTTTAAGCAAGTTTTACAACTTCAAAGGAAATGCTGTTTTTTGATGTATTTCATTGCTGTAGGAAGGTACAACTATTTTATTTTTAATTCTTTATTAGAATATTTTTTTCTACCAGGTAAAGTATTTATTTTAATACTTTATTTGAATCTCATCCGTAATTACCCTAGGAAAAAATAAGTTCTTTAAGTGTCTGTTTAATAAAAGCTTTAAGGTAAACTGCACAGGAGTTGTAAATAATACTTTAAAATATGTTATAAGTATTAAAATGTAAATATAGTAGCAAATGATACTTGCTGTATGGAAAAAGCATTTATTAGTCATTTTGTGCCCTGTAAGTTTCTGTGAAGAAGAGTGCACCGTCTTTCCTTTAATTCTTTCATTGTTGATTCCTTGGATATAAGCTGTTTGTAAATGTTACTCTTGTGTATGACAATAATGTGTTATAGTAACTATGAATGTTCATAGACTTCCTAAAATAATATGACCATTCCTAGTTCATCAGATTATTTTAATAATATGCCTGTATGGTACTTTTCACCTTTAAATCCAAAAATTTGCAAAGCAGATTTGCTTTTTGTTAATTTCCTAAAGAGGAAAAACTGAGACAAGCGAATCATTGGAATAACCTACTTTTAGATCACAGAGCTGACCAGAGACGGAACAAAGTCTGATTTTGAGTGTAGTGCTTTAATCACAAAACAAATTGCCATTTCTGCTAGTGGGATATTTAGTACATAAGAAAGCTTTTTGATTTCTGTATGAGCAGGTTTGTTTGTATATCTTGGCTATTATCCTTGTCCAGTACATATAAAATATATCTATTCCAATTCTAGGACTCTCAGTGATGTTCAAGATTTGCAGAGCAGGGCATCGACTTGAATTTCCTTCTCCAGGCTCTGTGGATTAGTAGGTTCCAGCAAATAATTTCATATATACATACACACCAAATGCATATTGTAGTTCTTGACTTTTATTTTACTGTAATATCCCATCCTTTCCAGGAATGCTGTAAGTACCTTAACAGCTCTTACACTTGCTGCACAAGTTATGTGTGTACCATCTGAGAAGAAACTCATCTCCTTGTCTTGCAGTTCAATTCAAAATGCACAAGTGTGTCAAGCTGACAAAGGTTGCTGGAATGAAGACTAGAGAGAAAGCCATAAAACTAGTGGCAGTAAATGTAATGCAGCTGTCAAAGGCAAGGTTACATTCTATTTTGGGGGTTTAATCCATACTACACTTCTTTTGTACTCAATATATTGTCTCTCTCTTTTTTTTTTTTTTTTCTTCTCCTTATTATGGTGCTTTTGAAGATGATGCAATTTCATGTGTTGTGGTTGATATTATGATCATAATGCTTTGTTGTAATTTAAATACCCTCCACAGTTTTCTGCATCTTCTTCCATTTAAAGGGTAAGTGCTACAGTAAGGTTTGAGGTACAAATAGGAGATACAGAATGTCACAGGAAGTGAACTGCAAGAAAGATAGATGTAGCTTGAATTTATGAATTTAGGCAATAATGTAATTCTCCATAATACAGCTTTAACAGTTGCTCTGAGTGAAAGCACAATTCATAAGATCCAAATTTGATTTACTTTAGAGAAATAATAGTTCCTGACACTGAGGACAAACAATGTAAATGTTCTCCCTTATCTTGACTATCTCCATGGATAGTTGTCAATTTCCTACTGTTTTCTGGCTTTCTTCACCTTTAAACCACAATCAGACCCATGAAGTTGCCAAAATTAGCCTCCTGGTGTTTTGTGGAGTTGGTATTGGCAAAGCCTGAGTTATCAAAATGAAAATAATAATAACTAGTAATCCTGTTCAATAAAAGCATTTAGCTATTATACCAGGTATTTTCTTATGTAGAACAGTAGTGGTATAGACAATCAAAGACAAGAAGAAAATTTATTTATATGCATCTAGCCTTAGTCAGTTGGAGAAGCAGCAGCAGTTGTCTCTGGCTGTGCTGGTTCTTGAGAAGATGATGTGCAGCAGGCATTCCTCTAGTGCTGAAGAGTGAAAAAAACAATCTAATTAGAAGAAACATGAAACAAGATTATATGAGTCAAGAAGATTTAGTTAGCTAGAGAATACAAAATGGCTTTAATGGCACTGGCCTAAAGGATTCAGAAACTGCACTAAAATGCGCTTTTCCAGTTCATGGGTGAAAGCTAATGAAGAGCTTGTTTCACAGTAAATACAACAATAAAAAACTGACTGGAGAAAGGTAAATAATTTCCAAGTTGTTTATGTAAGACAAAGAAAAATTATTGCTATGTCACTGATTTGAAATTTTTTTATGTTCTTGAAATGGCTTGCAAATGAGAACTTATTTTAGAACAATTCTTTTCTCTTTGACAGAACCCTATTTGTATGTGATGCTAAGAAGATTTTGAAATTATTTCTTAGGTTTTCATATACTGAAATTAGTTAGCTCTGGTAAGGTTTATCAGTGTCCCTTTTCCTCACTTATTTTCTATAGCTTCTATTTTACAAGAAGCTCTTGACCATTTAAATAAGCTATTAGTAAGATGCCCTTTTCCTTGAAAAAAATCTTAGTAGTGATTTCAAATAGGTAAGCATTCATTAGAAGTAAGTTATGATGTGATTTTAAAACTCCTTTTAAAAACAGCAGACCCAAGTGCAAAAAAACTCTTCAGTCATGATGAATGGTGATGTATTAAAGAACATATTTCTCTGTGGCAGCAGAGGAATGGTCCTCTTTCAGTAAAGTTTATTAACTTTTCATTTCATTGGTATATTATAGAAATCAAAGACACAGCTTTTATGAATTGGCAAGGAATTAGATGAGGTTTCCTGACCCTTTTTTATTTAAAAAAAAAATAAGTCCATAAAAATTACTCTTTTTCTAATTATTATTTTTATTGCTCTTCCAGTCATAGCTAAGTCTATGATTGCTTGTCTTACCATAAAGAAAAATCATGTAGCAGCTTAAATGAGTGACATCCTTTGATAACAACAAAAGGCCTTGTTCACTGAAGTATTTGTAACAGATTTCTTCTATACTTCAGTGAGAATCAGCAGCATAGAGCTGATTTCTAGGTATGACCATACATACAATATTTTATATTTGAATTGCCTTCTGCCAAGATTGTTTTGTGGACTTAGGAATCTGCATGGTACAGCTGGGCTTGCAGTGTGTATAACTTCTTCCTTGAGGTGTGGAATGGGTTGTTCATGTCACACAGTGAAGGGTTGTGTTGGGAGAGATCTGTACAAGCTCAGATGAACCCTGCAGTGTATGTTCATCCATTGTGTGTGCAGGAAGAAGGACAGCCATGTTAATAAGGCAGTCAATCCTAATAAGAAAGCTCTACTCTGTCACAAAATTGCAGTAGCTGACAAGGTGATGGTGTACTTCTATGAAGTGGTATTAGTATATGTTTGCATGGTGAATTTTAGGCACAGGATCTTCTGTCTTTCGTGTGTATTTACAACTACAAACTTGTTCTATCATGAATGTGTTCTTACACCTTTGGAATATAAACTGCCTTAGATCAACATCCTCACTGTTCAGTTTTGCACGTTCATCTTTTTGGCTTTTCTTTTTTCTTTTTTTAAATCGTAGAACGTATAGAATGCAGCTACAAGGTAGTATGAAACAAATCCACAAAACAGTAAAAAAAATGGATGACATAAGGACTTTTTCCCAGTCACTGAAAGTAAAGCTTCTGACTTTTGAAAAGTTAACAATGGTCACAGCAAGCAGAACCTACATTTTACATTTCATCTGAAAAATGATAACCCATGGCGCTTAGAACACCGTAATGTAATGCTGGTTCAATGTGCTCTCTACACTTTATATGTCATCAGTTCTTGAAGACTTTTTGATCATTTGCTGCTGGATTACAGCCTCACCTAACCTCCTGTTTCCAAGTCTACTTAGCCATGCTAGGGAGAAAGCTCATAAAGTAAAACATAACAGAGAGGTATCAGGCAGATCTCAGCAGTGCACCTTCAGAGCATTTCTTAGCTGTCAACCACTGTCGGTGGGTGTCCAGATATGTCTTGATGCTGTGTTGAGATACCACCCACACAAGTAACATCCTTTCTCCACCCTCTCATCTTCTGTGTCCCCACTTATTTCCTCTGGAAGGAAAGTGGCTTCCTAGCAAGGGTAGATGTGTGACTGTTTGCTTCAGGCAACTGGTGTACTAGGGACTGTGATTTCCTCTCCAGAGCACATTTGCCTTGTCATTCAGACACAAACATAGGTACAAACATAGTTATAGAGCAATAATTGGAGCTGTAACCACATTTGACTGGTAATTACTTGTCCTGTGTGGGTGTGAAGTACCTGCAGAGTTCCCAGCCTGGAGGGTTCAGGAAACATTACTTTTCTGAATTTTCAAAGTGAAACTGCATCCCAGTTTGTGGTTTAGAAGAAACTTGAAAATACTGTTATTGGTAGAAAAATTTGATCCAAAAGTGCACGGTAGAAGGCACTCTGTGAGCTACAATTTCTGCTTTGTCCCCAGCGATATCTACTCCATTTGTCTTCTGAACAACTAAACCTAAGATTAGTATATCTGTACTAGCAGGTCAGAACAGGATAGCTTGGTTAGATTGCTGGTAGGTGATGGAATGCTGTGTGTAAGGGAGGAAATGTCTTGGTGTTTCTCCCTTTGAATAGGAAGGGGGGAAGGGAGTATATAAAGACATAGCTGATACCAGAAATGCAAGTCAGGGTGATCAAAATTTGAGAGGGCACAATTAGTAATATAATTGC